ACATTCTTCTGCTCTAGAGTCAGAGACAAAAAGAATCCAACACCCACTCACTCTCCCTACATTTTAAAGACCAGAAGTGGGATATCCTAGCTGTATTATTTACAGAAGGAGAGCTGTGTTAGATGCTGTAGCAACCATTAGAGGATTTGGATTCACCTAGACCTGTCTCTACTTCAAGGCCAAACTTTTTAAAAAGAAAATCATTATGAAAGAAAATGTTCAGGCTATGCATTCAAATCACAGAACAAAAACACTATTGCCAGAACAGTCTGTTGTCTATTTTCTGCAATCCAAACCACGAGCCCAAATAATTTCTCAGAATGGCAGATGATGCAATGCACAATACGTTGAAGCCCAGAAGAAGCGCCCACAGGTTTTCCATAAGGCTCCTCCAACAGGAAAGTGTTTGCGTTCGTCAATAATTGCTTTGTACATCTTGGAACCTGTTCGTAACTCATGATTCGCAACCTGCTAGAGTTCATCAAGGTGACACCAGAAATGATAACATTACCTTGTGAGCAGCCTGGACGGCAGCCCAAAACTATTACACAATAGAAAACAAGCAGAGCTGAACATGCTTCCTTCCAGCTCCAGAATTCTGCAGCGCGAGGATTTCTGCTGTAACTGTGCAAATTTCACACTGATCCTCGGGCTGTGTGCACAAATGTATACAAGCCAAAATGCTCAGAGGATGGTGTTTCTAAACCACATTATGCACTCCTTTAAGCCCACCTAAGATTGACTTCAAAGAACCAAAGGAATTTTGCAACCTTCCCTTATAAGTCCTTGACTTACGAACACAATTGGACTCAAAATTTCTGTTGCCGTTTAAGTGGATTTTGCCTTATTTTACAACCTTCCTTGCCACAGTTGTTAAGTGCTGTTGTTAAGCTAGTAACATGGTTGTTAAGTGAGTCTGGCTTTCCCATTGACTTTGCTTGGCAAAAGGTCACAAAAGGGGATCACACAACCCCAGGACATTGCAACCATCATAAATTAAGAGCAGTGGTGGCACAGTGGTTAGAATGCAGTATTGCAGGCTAATTCCGCCATCTGTCAGCAGTCAGGCAGTTCAAATCTCACAGACTCAAGGTTGATTCAGCCTTCCATCCTTCTGGGTCCAGTAAAATGAGGAGCCAGATTGTTGGGGCAATAGGCTGACTCTGTAAACTGCTTAGTGAAGGGGTGGAAAGCACTGTCAAGTGGTACATAAATGCTATTGCTAAATACGAGTCGGTTGCCTAGCATTTGAATTTTGATCACATGACCATGGGGATGTTGCAAGGGTCGTAAGTGTGAAAAAAAAGTCAATCACTTTTCTCAATGCTGTTGTAACTTTGAACAGTCACTAAATGAACGGTTGTAAGTTGAGGACTATCTGTAGATATGTTAGTTTGCTCTATCAAATTCCCCCTACTTATTAGGACATAGAAAATCAAACAGCTGTAAGTTGTTCATATGGCTTTTCCAGGTTAGTCATAGATTTTGTTTCTTGATTCGGTGAAAAGCAGCTGTAAACTCACCCTCCTCCACACAACAACAATAGTTTTTAATGCCATCATTTCAGATTGCAACAGCAAACAGGCTTTTCAACTGATTGAGAAAACAGGAAAATTCAACCACTGATGCTTATCTGTCAAATAAAATAAATTCCTTATGTTTTTTTCCCCCCTTCCTTCTCTTTTTTGCTTGTTGTTGACAATGCCATAAAAACTCCTGGATGATTAAATAACAACTCAAAGGGAAGAGACCAGAGATTGAAACTCAAAAGTCACCTGTACTATGGAAATTGTATTTTCAAATTTCAATAATCCTAAAGTTGTGTCTATGAGCCTTTTGCTTAGTGACAGAGAAAACCGATGGCTTCGATCACATTGGGCGATGCCAGCGGGGAGGATAGGAAAGTTATTCTGTGCAAGTGGAGAAACTGGAAAAGTGGACAACAATTTTAAAATGTTGTCTATTGGGAATCTGGAAGTGCATCTTCTCTGTAGCACTGCTTGCTTGAATTCTTCTCTGATTTGTACTTACTGCAATCCAAACCACGTGCAAAAATAACTTCTCAGAATGGCAGATGATGCAATATACAATATGTTGAAGCACAGAAGAAACCACCACAGGTTTTCTATAAGACTGTAGTCCACCCCAACTGCAGATCTGCATCGTCCTCACTCTTCACCCAGGACTTTGGCCAGAGAGACTGAGACCGCCTTTGTCACACCTGCCATCTTTTATTTTTACCTTTTATTACAATTTCTCTGATGGGCCATCGAGCCACTGAGAGTCGGGTAAGCATACAAATTTAACAAAATACTACCAGCATTCCTCTTTTCTGAAGCAAACCAGAATTCTTCTCTTCAAACTCATGCTAAAGTCTCGACACGGTACCTGCCATGATGTCTTAAGTTATGCAGTCATGAATAATTTTAAGTTATTCTCTTTTTAGCGAACATATTATTAACACACTAGATCTCAGCTAAAAAAAGTTGCATATTTTATTGGACAAAAATATGCAAGTGTGGAAGTCCACCCTTGTGATTTAAGTTGCATTTACTGACCCTCAGTTCCTATGACCTGCCATGTGTCTCTTCTCCAGTTCCCAAAATACATTCCAGTATGGACTGCCTGGTAAAGTTCCCTTAAATGCACCCAGACTTAAAAGGCACTCACTACTTTGCATCAGTAATTAGGAGTTAAACTTTGAAATTGCATGCATCAGCCTGCCTTTTAGAGCAAGCATCATGATAAACAGAAGCAGCAAAAGTTTACCCATGTATCACTGAATGTACAACTGACACATGGGTGGTTTATAAATAAAATATTTATAAAGAAGCAAATCTATGGCTTCAAGGAGCCTGTTTTAACAAATACATTTTAATTCAGGCTTTGGTTGTTTTTAAGACAGCTAATAAGCTACTGTATTTTACTGCATTGGATACAGGCAGTCCTCAACTTACAACAGTTCATTTAATGACCGTTCAAAGTTACAATGCCACTGATGACTGTTTTTCACTCTTAAGACCATTGCAGCATCCCCACGGCCACATGATCAACATTCAGATGATTGGCAACAGATTCATACTTATGACGGTTGCAGTGACCCAGGATCCCCTTTTGTGACAAGCAAAGTCAATGGGGAAACCAATTTCACTTCACTCTGTTACTGATTTACCAACAGCAGTGATTCACTTAACAACCGTGGCAAGAAAAGTCGTAAAACAGTGCAAAACTCACTTAGCAAATATTTCACTTAGCCACAGAAATTCTGGGCTCAGTTGTGGTTGTAAGGTGAGGACTACCTGTATTGATGTCTTGAAAGAGTTCCTACTTGTGCAATCCTTCATAAACCTCAGGCAGAAAATATACCTTGTTCCCAATCTGCCCACCACCAAAAAGTTGCAATATTACATTTACCTACTCTTTATGCTCTCAGCCCTCTTTTGCACAACACATCCAGTCCAAATGCATTTAAAAATTACAGATAGGCAAGCCTATTCTGCAGAATTTGTCATTCAGAGGTTTGTGTCAGGTTTCCTACACCAATGCCTGGGACAAAAAATACCCTTTCTGTGCAATGCTTGTTTTTACAGCACACTCACAACTTACAGCACACTTTATGAGAAAGTGGGTTTTCTGTTGGATTTTTTTAAAAAAAGGTCCTTAATGACCCAGGATTCATTGCTAATCTCCTGTAAATGTTTCTAGGATTCAACCACTATTCCCGATTCCCTTCGAAGCACAATATTTTCATCCCTGGCCAATGTTTGTACTGTTAAGGCACTCAAGGGAGTCACTGAGAATCTAAGTATTAATTAATCTGAACTTGGAAAGGCACCAAGTTGGCGATAAACATTCTCTGAGCCAGGATCCTCATATCCATAAGCATGTTTCAGACGGGATATTATCCCCCTAGCCATTTTGAGCATTTCCCCAGGAAAGGCTGCTCCTAGCTGGAAAATCCCTGCTCCATGCTTGATCCATGTCCACCCTGTTTCCTTTCAGACAAATAAGAAGATAAGAAGATTGTGGCCTCTGAACTCATTTATGCATTCTCTTTCGAAAGAAATGGAGAGATTTCATGACAAAGCAGGCCTAGGACCCGTCTTAAAGACACGCATGCCATCTCTTAAGGGCCCTAATTCCACTGTGCGTTTGTGTGTGCGTGAAGAATTCCAGCCTTTCCCATTAAGAATAGGGGAAGAAGTCTGAAGTCAGCCTCAGATTTAGCCCCATTCTGGTATTCCCTCTTGGGGTGAATCCCCCTTTCTCTTACCCACACAGGATTCAAGGGTTTATTGATAAAATGAAAACTCTGGATAAGGGGAGAAAAGCTGGCAAGCATGAGTTTAGTCTGACTGGTGGCCCCCGGGCAGCAGGACAGAGCCTCCTGACCTTCTTGGAAAGACTTTGGCGCGACTTCAAAGGAGCTAAAATGTTGGGCACCATTTCAGGCCAAGCCCCAAATCTCCTCACTTCTCAGAAGAACAATAACCCTACCTTTGATTCTAGCCTGCAGGACTGAACCCATGCCCAGAAGCATTGTTGTATAAGATTGTTTACCCTGCTTCAGCGGTTTCTCCCTGCTCAGTGGCACACTTTCTTGCCCCCCCCTCTTGCAATCTGCTCACCCCGTCCCCGCTGCCCTTCTTTCCAGGGAAGAAGCACCCCTTTTGCCACCTACTCCAGTCTCTTTTTCTGCCCCCTTCGCTGCATGCCCAGAGGCACTCTTAACATCTCTGCCTGTCCTTTGCCCACTCAAAGGCAGGCACTCCTAACACCACCTCCCCTCCGTGCGCTCCCTCCAGGCTCAGAGGCAGCCTTAACGCCACCTCTCCTCCTCCCTCCTGTGACCTTCCTTCCATGCTCAGAGGGGCTCTTGACACCGCTTCTTCTCCTTCCTGTGGCTCTGCCTCCCTGCCTCTTAAACCTCTCCCCCTCCGGGCACTCTTTGCATGCTCAGAGGCACGCCAGTCTCTCCTCCCTCCAGCGGCTCCGCTCACCGCCAGGCGTGGTTCCGAAGAGGGTGCCGCCAGGCGTGGTGCCGTAGTCGCCCGGAGGCAAGGAGACTCCCTCGGCCAAATCGAGCAGCTTGTTAGGGCCGGGGATGTCCCTGCCCAGCGTGGGCTCCGGAGCCGGGTGGGGGCGACAACAGGCGGCGGACATGGCCGGGAAGAAACGCCGCTCGCAGCCGCGATCGCCTTACGAGCCACAACCGCCTCCTCCAGCGCTGCAAAGCTCCGCCGAGCTCCCGCCGCCCCGCCCCCTTGTTTGGGCCGCGCAAAGCCCCCTGGGAGGTGTAGTCTTCGAGCCCGCCCCGGGCACGCCTCTCGCTGCGAACCAGCTGGAGCTGCGAAAAGGAGACGGGGTTGAGTTGCGGGACGCGGTCTCCTCCCCCTCCCTGGATGATTAACGGCCCCTCTTGCTAAATAAGCCGCCCCCACTTTCTTTAAGATGGTAAGCCACAGTCAGAGTTCGGCCCTGAACAAGCAAACCGCCCCGTGGCTGGTACGAAGCCAGGCGCAGAGTTTTTGCAAGCTTGCAACTCCTTGATAAAAGTATTCAACCGTTTGGCTTGGCGCAAGGTGGGAAGCCCGACAACAGGATAAAAAAAAAAGCCACTAATTAAAGAGCGCCTGTGCCATTTGGATGCAGTACTCCGAAGGACTCGCCTCAAGAAGGAACAAAACCTAGAAGCCATGAATAATTGTTCTAAAACGTCTTGAAATTTGAATAAAACCAGCTCCAGCTGAGATTAGCTGTTTATTCAGAGAGTTGCTTGTGCTTTTAGTTTCTTTTACGATAACTACCTTCTTCCCGCAGGGCCCAATGTGATCATTTTGGTTTCTTTAGCACATTTGTGTGAACTCAGCTTTTGTGGTCTATGGAAGGAAGTGTGGTTGAAGAAACCAGGAGAGAGGCCAGCCTCTGTAATCCAGAACAGTTCAGTCTGGGAGGAAACTCATCCCTGCTCTCAGACAAAAAAGGCAGAACACAAGAGAGAGAGAGAAACAAAGACTAATTCTTGAAAGCATGCTGATATGTATTTTTAGCCCTTACAAAGTTAGGTGGCAACACTCAGCTGATCTGGAAAAACTAAGCAAGGTAGACTTCAAAACGGATTGGATGGGAGACACAAGATTCTAAGGCTATGAATAAGATTAGGAAATGAGGGGGGGGGGTGGAACAGGAAGGAAATTATAAACTGGTTATCAAGAAAAGTGCCAAACCGGTGTCAACAAAACTTATGGACCTCAATTCCTAGAATTCTGGGAGTTGAAGCCCACAAGTTGCCAAGGTTGGACAACCTGATTTGCAGTATACCTATCCTGGGGGGGGGGGGGGGGGGGAGGTTAAAGGTCATCTTGTTTGAATGGCAGGTGCATCACTCTTGGTTTTGGGGGCTGATGGGTGAAACCAGAGAGCCTTTTAATTCCCAGAATTCTAGGAATTGAGGTCCATAAGTTTTGTTGACACCGGTTTGGCACTTTTCTTGATAACCAGTTTATAATTTCCTTCCTGTTCCCCCCCCCCCCCCCCCCCCCCCCCAGGATAGGTATACTGCAAATCAGGTTGTCCAACCTTGGCAACTTGTGGGCTTCAACTCCCAGAATTCTAGGAATTGAGGTCCATAAGTTTTGTTGACACCGGTTTGGCACTTTTCTTGATAACCAGTTTATAATTTCCTTCCTGTTCCACCCCCCC